CTTTAAACCTAACCAATAACCTAGACAAAGAACTTCAAAAAGGCCAAATGGCCACAAACCACCAGCACCTCTCCTGCAGATGTACATAGGAATGTTAGTGCATCACCTGTAAGGGGGAGTTGCTGGAGGTTGTCTCACTGTCCTTAAGATAAGTCTTTGGACCAATAAATTATTCTTTTTTGCCCCCATACCCGGACTGTAGTAGTGGTAAAGTATATGTTGTAGGGTCCGTGGTATGCTCATAAATATCTAGTCACTTCCCCCTGAGAACAAATTGAATGCGCCAGCCCAGGCTGGACCATTTTGGCCCTATGAATCCTTGTGTCCAAATGACAAGATTAGTGCTAGGTAAGGGTTACTAACCGGTAGACTAATCAGATGCACTATTTAATGCTCATAAGACACAATTATTTTGCCTAATAGCCTTATTTATTACAGATTGGCTTGCCAGACGAGGGAGCCTTTTGAGCCGTGAGGTGTATGGAGGACGACTCCACTTCCTCAAGAAGCAGACAAAACAACAAACACTATCATTCGGAACACTATCATATTGTAACACTATCATGTAACATGTAACACTATCATGTAACATATCGTAACACTATCCCTACAAGGCTACAACTAGGGTAGCCAATATTCTTACAAAGAGAGTCACTTGTCCTAAACCTCTTTTGTCAGCAATTGGCGGCTGCTCTACCTGCCACTGCCAGTAGCCAGTAGAACTTGTTAAAGCATAGGTACTAATTTGTGAATAATGGTATTATTAGGTTTAATAGTTTTATTTTGTTCTTATTTTATTGTAGATTTCTCTTTCTTTGTAATACTTATTTTGTCCATTGCATTTTGTTTATTGTAGAAGAAAATCTGGGGAGAAATATTAATACCTATCTGATTGGTGACTTTTGGTGTTGGCGAGGGGTTGCCTGCCGAAGACCACCACTGCCCTGGATCAGGATGTAATGGACTATCATGATTCCTGCCGTCCGTATCTAGGCCGTGGCTGTGGGTCAAACCAGCCCTCGGTCGAACGGCCACTCGTCAAAGACGATAAATTTTGGAACAGAATTTTGCTATCTGAAACCTAACCTTAGATACGGTGAACGTAAAATTACGTAATTTAACGATGCCCGGAAGTCATATTCAATCCGCGGCCTGGTGGTGCCCGGCAGGTTCTATGCCAGGCTGGAGGTGGACAAGGCCGAGTGGTTCACGGCTGATTGGTGGATGTCCAGAGAGATCCAAGGCGTTCGATTCAGGGCTTGTTGGTGCACAAAATTGGTGGTGCACGGCTGCGCTCCCTTGGCAAGTGGTTGTGACATCACACTCGTTTGGTCGTGAGATGGCTTTGTGCTGTGCGCTGTCAGCGCTGATTGGTTCACCGTTCAGGGAGTGCCAGTAGCCTACTACGTGGCGTGGGCTGGCTGTAATGTGATGCAAGTTGGTGGCAATGCTGTTGGGGAGTGGGGACAGGGACAGCAGTGTAGACTGTGTAGCATGGACCATGATAGGGTGAACATCTTCTAAGCGTGTGATATTAACAACAGCCTGAAGGGTAGATAAATTCTATGCCAACACTGATATTGATAGACAACTCTCATATACAGGGTGGGGCAGAACTGATTGAGCAGTTTTGAGGCAAAATAAAAGAGTAATGGAGGTACATAAAGAAAAAAAGTTTATTTTCCTTGGGGTTAGCATAACCTACCATTTAGAACACTTATATTTTGAAAACAATATCAGGAAGATGGTGGCTGTTAGCTGTAACACACTGTTGGAGTCGTTCTCAGAGGAGGGAGTAACCATGACAGTGAATTTCGAACACTATGCTGTAATGTTGCAAATTTTTTTGCAGCCCAGGATGGAAAACGTTGAAAATGAAGCATTGGGAGACATGTGGTTCCAGCAGGATGGGCTACAGCTCACACAGCCCAAATGTGTCACTCAATGTTTTGAGACACATGTTTCCCAGATGTCTGGTGTCTCTGAGGGGTGATTTACAGTGGCTTGCAAGGTCACCTGATTTGAGCATTTGCAATTTCTTTCTTTGGGGACATCTAAAAGAAAGGGTGTTCAGAAGTCGCCCCCACACCCTACCACAGCTATGGGAACGGATTATTGCAGAGGTTATGGCCATAACTTGCCATATGTGTGAACGTGCTGTAGGAAACTTCTGAGAATGTCTCCAACAATGTGTTGCAGCCAACGGCCACCATCTTCCTGATATTTTTTCAAAACATAAGAATTTGAAATAGTGTGTTATGCTAAGCTTGAGAAAATACACTTTTTTCTTTATGTACCTCCATTACTCTTTTATTTTGCCTCAAAACTGCTCAATCAGTTCTGACCCACCCTGTTTTTATCATTAGCCTTCTTTGAGCAGGTGACTCAGACCATATATGATCACTTGCTATATTTGGGCTATAGGAATTTGCTAAAATTATTAATGCATTTGCCATAAACAAATGCATTTCCTGCTGCTGACTCCATAGCTAAGTAAAAAGTCTGTACACTAAACAAAACTTGTGATGCTAAGGTGATAGATTCAATTGCTTGTAATACTGTGTAATGTGTATGGAGTACAGGATCAAAACTCAATGGTAATGTTTCTGATTACCAAAATTGCAGCTGTAATATATACGTTTGATACCGGATACATGCAACAACTTTGGGCCTTGGCCAAATCTGTGAAGTGGCTGGTCATTTAAGCAAAGCAGAGTTGGAGCAGTGAGTTGTGTGTTTGAGACTGCAACAAGCTGTGGATGTTGTGTGATGTTAAGAATCAGTGTCAGGTTTAACAGCCTAATTAATTCTAACATCACTATGCATATATGGTGTCATTGCTGCCTTGGATTCTTTTGTTTATTGAAAAATTTTAATTTTTCTGGCTTTTCAGATACAATAGATCATGATAACGATGCGAGTTTATGGCTGCTTGATACGTTCAAGCCAGCAGGGCAAACTAGGGACATGTTGGCTACGAGGCGTTTCATCCCATTTTAAGAGCGTCAGAAGAGAAAGTTCTGCAGTGCCACATAAGCTGGTAATTTCCCTTTAAGATTTCATATAATGAAGATCATTTTAGAAAAACTTGCTCTTTCCTTCAATATGTTTGAACCAATGTAATAACTGAACTTATTTGCCACATAACTTATTATTATTTATTTCTCTACATAATTTTTGTAGCATTGCTTGTTATCCTTTCATATTTGTTTTTATTGCTGCAGTTCACTGGAAGTATTTTAGATGTTCAACCTTTGGTGTTCACTTGTTTTTCTACTATGATGCTCTGTCAGCCTCTGTGTATAATAATGGCATAACTATTCATATAAAATAGGAATCTTACAGCAGCCTATGATTTTAAGAATAAGTAATATGAGAAAGATCTTTGCATGTAGTATTATATATGCATTTTTTTCTCAAGTGTGAAGATAACACCATTGCTTAATTCTACTTGCAGCTTTGGCATGATAGTTCTTCTCCAAATTATATCTGAACACCTGCCATGTTATGTTATTTATTAACACTGGTGTACTGCCAGAACTTTTTGATCCCAGGCCATAGATGAAGGGTTAATAAATTGAGCTTGTTAGTTATTATCAAGCTTTATTCAGTCCTGCCAAAAGTCCATAGTGTGCAGCTCTTTTCCAGCTGACCTAAATTATGTAGTTACATTTCTTTACTTGGTTTAGATACCAGTAATTTACTTGAGATAAAACATGTGAAGTTGTATTACTGCTTTGAAGAGTGGGCTATGATGCTTACAATCACCCCATTATCAACAATAATTAATATTTCAATGTGAATAGATAATATAAGAGATAATGAGCATCTGAAGTGATGTTATTTACTCTGGTTATTCAGAAATGCAGGGTTGCTCTGGGTGCCTGCCTGGATAGCTGCCCACCTACCCACTCAGGCTGGGCTTTAAATAAAAAAAAGTTAAAAAAACCTGTATAGTAAAATGTGCTAGGGCAAATTTTCGAAGATCAACATAAATGAGAATAACTTTGAAGCTCAGTATTAATGAAATAGGTAAATGAAAGAAGTTAACATACCCATTAAACGCATTTTGCCTGTTTTTTTTTTTGATAAAACATTGTGTTTTTTGCTACCCTGCTCCAGACACTGGCCACCTGGGATCCTCTGAGCATAAATTCTCATTTTTAATTTAATTGGTTTATAAATGGATTGTTTTTAATTTTTTTATTGCATTTTTTCTGCATAGGTAAATAAGATGATGTGATGACCATGCAAGTTTCTCTGACACACAAATGCACTTTTACTATTTGTTGTATGTTCATTCAGTAGAATGGATGCAATACTAGGTTGAATATTATTGTGTTTTGTTCCAGAAACAACCTCTGCTACCATTTTCTGCTTTTCTGACTGATTCTTTTGCACGGCAACACAATTACCTGAGAATATCCCTGACCGAACGCTGCAATCTGCGCTGTGAGTCCTGCAGCCCTGTCCAGTGCAAGCATTTCTCTCTACCTACTTCTTGGCTCCTACCCTTAAAGAAACATTAATTTGGGCTATCTTGGTGTCCATCACATTAACATTGTGGTTAATGGATTCTTGCAACCCGTGCTAGTAGATGTGCCAATTCCATTTTTGACACCTTTTTTTATTTAAAATTTTTTTTATGTAAACACATAGCAATGCCATGTTTTGTGATGTAGCATTAAAGGCCATATTCTTCAACAATTTTTTTTTTCTTAAAGTAAAAGTGAAGAAGAATTTGTGGTGTAAATTGTGGTAAAAAACATAACCCACCCTGAAAAAAGTATAATTTCTTTGTGGGCTGTGCTAGCATTTGTTGGTGATTGTATGCTCATCACCCCACCATTACCTTGATGCTGGCTCATGTGATGCTCATCACCCCACCATTACCTTGATGCTGGCTCATGTGGTGCTCATCACCCCACCATTACCTTGATGCTGGCTCATGTGGTGTTCATCACCCCACCATTACCTTGATGCTGGCCCATGTGGTGTTCATCACCCCACCATTACCTTGATGCAGGCCCATGTGGTGCCTATTGCCTGCAGTGCTTGTATAAAATATGAAGTAGCATTGCACTGGCATGCTGGGGTGCAAGACACATTGAGGGCAACCCACATACATGGCTTGGACGTGTCTTTGGCATCACTCAATTCTCAAATGCTCTGATAGTAGTCCTTAAACATCTCTTTTATGTTACGTTTATATGTATAATATTAATTCGTAATGCAACAAGCCTTTGAAATGATAAATTAACTCTAATGCCTATGCTTAGCACCTTCATAGAGTAGCATGAAAAATGCCAGCTTACACTAGTTTCTTTTCTTGTCAGCTCTCTACAGAAGTTTGCATAAACTCATTGTTTACATTTTCCAGCTTTGCTATAGTAAATAGAATGTATTAACAGTTGAAAGAATTTTTATCTAATGCCTACCTCTGTGCAGGTCAGTACTGCATGCCCCCAGAGGGCGTGCCACTCTCACCCTCAGAGCAGATGCTCTCAACGCCAGAGCTGCTGCGACTCACCAAGCTCTTTGTGAGTGAGGGCATCGACAAGATCAGGCTGACGGGCGGTGAGCCCTTCATCAGGAAAGACCTCGCACATATTGTAGGTGTGTAGCTTGATCCATATTAGGGACTCTTAATAAATTTTCAACAACCCCGGATTCTGGAAATTTCACTGCATGCCCTGCCTCCAAGCTGTACATTTAATTAATCCCCATACCTAATCAGTTATTAGTTGTATTAAATTGCAAATTCACCAGGAATTTAGAAGCAATGAAAACACATATTACAGTCACCATATCCTCCATCTTGATATGTATTAACTCTAGACCAGCACCTTGCTGTGCAAGTTGTCAAAGTGTAATGCTGATTCTAGCTTACAGTGAATTAAAAGTGTAATTTGATAATGCTTCAGGGTTCAGGCTTGTGTGTTGACTAGAAAACACCACCATTAGTAGGTAATATTGTGAGCAGGATCCATTACCAGCCCTTATGTGCTGAGCAGAGAACATTGCGGCGATGGGTGTGAAGCACATTGGTATCACCACCAACGGGTTGGTGCTGAAGCAACGGCTGGGGGAGCTGGTGACGCTGGGGCTCACCCACATCAACATCTCCTTGGATACTCTCGTCCCTCAGAAGTTTGAGTTCATCACCCGAAGGAAGGGCCACCAGCGGGTGATGGATGGCATACAAGTGGCTCTTGCAGCCCCCCTGCAGGCGGTGAAGGTGGGGTAGTGGGTGTTGGGGGTAGAGGATAGGGCTGTTGAGGGCAGAGGGTAGGGCTGTTGAGGGCAGAGGGTAGGGCTATTGGGGGTAGAGGATAGGTCTGTTGGGGCAATAAGTCTGTAAATCAATGCAAGTCTTTTAACTTTGAGCTACTATGGCTCGTGAAGCTCTGTGTATTCAGGTCAATAAGATGGATGATAAACATTAAAAATATGAACACCAAATTTGGGTACCAAAATCTCACAGATGATCCTTCCGTAAAATTCTTGGAATCTTATTCCATGGAAAGGTTGCATAGTATTAAATTGAATGAGTTGTCAGCCTTGGTCATCGTGGATAGTTATACTAACTATCATTGTGGTAATGTGCTGTTTGTGGTGCGCAGCTGAACGTGGTGGTGATGCGTGGCACCAACGATGATGAACTCGTCGACTTCGTGCGACTGACGGAGCAACAGCCGCTGGACATACGCTTCATTGAGTACATGCCCTTTGATGGCAACAGGTGGGGCAGGGTGCTGCCCTTTGATGGAAACAGGTGGGGCAGGGTGCTGCCCTTTGATGGCAACAGGTGGGGCAGGGTGCTGCCTTTTGATGGCAACAGGTGGGGCAGGGTGCTGCCCTTTGATGGCAACAGGTGGGACAGGGTGCTGCCCTTACATGGCAACAAGTTAATGGCTTCTACTTTGAACTGCTAGCTGGTACAAATGTTCTACTTGAAACCTGTGATTGGAATACCAAGTAAAATTCTACTTAACACCTACAAGTAAAATAGCTTCTATTTAAACATGCTCACTACTGTCTGGTGTGGTGACACTCACCATTCTCAGCACTCACCACTTTTTGGTATGTTATCACCCACCCCTCTCTCCACTCCCTGGTATGGTACCATTCACGGTGACTCACCCCTCTCACTATACCTGGTACAGTGCCATTCACCCCTTCTCATCACTCACCACTCGCCGGTATGTCACCACTCACCCCACCCCCTCTCATCACTCATCACTCGCCGGTATGTCACCACTCACCCCACCCCCTCTCATCACTCATCCCACCCCCTCTCACCACTCATCACTCGCCGGTATGGCACCACTCACCCCACCCCCTCTCACCACTCACCACTCGCCGGTATGGCACCACTCACCCCACTTCCCTCACTACTCACCACTCGCCGGTATGGCACCACTCACCCCCTCACCACTCCGGTATGATGCAGGTGGCAGGCGGCGCGTATGATGCCGTACTCTGAGATGCTCAGCACCATCACTCAGAAGTTCCCCGACACGCAGCGCATCTCTGACAAACCCAACGACACGTCCAAGGTAAACACGACACTCATAGTACTTATTTTTGTCCTAATATTGACACATTGTATGCACTGGGCAATGATTCATCCTATTGTCTGAATAATGATAGTCATTTCTAGCCCGCATTTACGTTCATCTTCCTCGAGTTTATTGTAAGTTTTCCTTCACTAAAGTGCTTCTACGTTGACGACTTTTCCTCCTTATTTGCTTGAACATGTATATTTGCTACACAAGTATAAATGTAGAATCTCTACTTAGAAGAGTGGAATTTATACTTGCTACGCAAGTAGAACGTTTTTACAGTGTAGCTTATGTTATTTGCTTCTAATACCTGAATAGTGTAATAATTGTATATACTGAGGATACGAGCTTCATGTATTGATTTCATAATAGAACTACCGTATAGCGTCTTGAACGTGCCACTACCAGCCATATTTATTAAATGTACTTTATTCATATTTATTGAATATACCTTCTGATCATAACTAAGTTAAGCTATCAGCGAGACTGTGATAATCCTGTAGAATTTCATATGTACAATTGATGTCTTGGTTTTGATGTCTTCAAGACCAGATCATATCACCATTCACAATTCCATGAATTTACTCTGCCTGAATGGCCACTCAGTGCCGACTAGTCCTTGCTTCTTCATTGTACAGGGTGATTCACGGAGACTTCCTCATTTGAAAGCTCAATAAAGAAAGAACTACTAGTAAAGATATCATTACAATATAATTTGTTTGAAAAAGACATTAGCTGAATTTTTGTCACTTGGTTTTGAAGATGACATTGAACAAACGAACTCGCCGAAGCATATTGACGGGTATGTTGGCAATGGCTTGGCTTATGTTGTTCTTCAAGTGAGATTGGGGGCTTGGACAGCCATTGCAAATAATTGACTCTAGGTAACCCCATGAAAAAAAAAATCCCACGGAGCCAAATTGAAGGATTGGGCCGGTCAAAGAAGCTCACCTCTCAAGGAGATGAGGCTGCAAAATGCTGTCTCAGAAGATCCATTGAACATGTGGTGTGGGCCGTGGTTCCATTCTGTTGGAACCTGACATCCCGGACATTCATTTCAGCCAGTTTTGGCAAAAAAAGACATCAATCGTTTGCGTGTGCCGAGCTGCCGTCGTCATTACTGCACGCGTTAGTTTTTCTCAAAGAAATAAGGGCCAATTATGCCAACTTTTGGCACCCCACACCACACAGTTAGGCGTTCACAATGAAGTGGCCGCTGGTGGAGTTCATGCGGATTGCTATCACTCAACAACGCATGTTTTACTTGTTTATGCTGCTGGAAATGTGAAAGTGAGCCTCATCATTAAAGAAACCAACTGCATCGTAAGGTAAGCTCTCAAGAACCGAATACAGAACCAAGTATGGAATGCTCATTGAGTAGCAATAATGGAACGGCCATTAGAAAAGTATGCCTCGACGGCAAAAGATAAGGACGCCTCCTCAGAAAAAATACGTCTCGACAACTGCTCACTTGTCCAATGCATAGGTAGTGGCAACTGACAAGGTGAAACACAAACTTCATGATCTTGCCCTTCATATGAAATACTCCCCAACAATTTCCTACAACATGAGGCAGCTTGTCGCGAAATACAAAACAGGTAGTTTCCGTGAATCACCCTGTATATCAGGCCTATTATTTCTTTCACTGTATATCAGGCCTATTATTTCTTTCACTGTATATCAGGCCTATTATTTCTTCACTTGTAAGGAATTTATACAAACATAACTGCTAACAATTTTATTGAAACTCCAAAGGATAGGCTTCGGATCCAGAGAAGTAGAAAGCGGAACTGAAGTGGATGCAGTTGAGGAAACTGAAATTAGAAAAAGAAACCTTACTTAACCCATTAACGCCCAAATTTTTGATTTGTGAAATTTCTGTCTGAACACCTTCATATGGTGTAAATATTTCATATAAAACAGTTTCTGCACAATTTTAGAGGATATAATGAGAGTAGCAGTAGTTTAAAGAAAAAGTCCCAAATGGGGATCATGGGCAAAAGGGTAATAGAAAATACCAATTATTTTTCGTCACCGTTCTTATTATTATTTCCAAATTTATGAAGTGAGTATGTGTTATTAGTGCCTGTTTCTAATGCTAAATGCACATTCCTTTATTTGTCACCACAAAATTAATGAGATTGCATAAAGAAGTATTGCTCCTTTGAAACTAAATATAAGAAAGTAATAATTACACTCAAAATGAGAGTAATTTCACTGATGCCATTCAAGGAAGCTTTCAACGTATAGCCCAACGATGCACTTGGTACATTTCTTTCGGACATTTATTTTGCAAACGACGCAATTCCGTTGTCTTTCAACATCTGTTCGCTGCAGAACATGCCCTGAATTACTTCTTCCAAAGTCTTCTATCACTCGCCGCTTCGATTCCTTACTGAATGATGGGCGACCTGACTTCTTAGGATCTGACAAAGATGATACTTGCACATATACCCATAATACCCTTACTATTCTCCCCTTGAATTCCAGCAAGGGCATTTGTCCGTTTGCCTTGTAAAGCAGGAGTGGATTTATGACTGTCATATCAAGAAAGTTTGTGAAAAATGAAAAATACCATTTCTTTCCATGAACTTTTATCCTGTATTTATTGATGAGCCAATCCATTTTATTCACGCCACACGTGTACTTGTAATCGGAACAATTTTTGGCCTGCACGAGTTCTCAATGTTGAATTGTCATTGAAACGATGGTTTTGCTTCAGCTCAAGCTACCGGTCCGACTGTTCTGGTTCATTTCCAAACCAAAAACATGCGATGAAATGATTTATTTTGCACCATTTCTTCAATTTCCTTTACTAAATGAATGAAAATGTTGCTAACTTTTGTTACTTTATGAAAATTTAGGTAATACATCAGTATGTGGTAAAATACATTTTCCTTGACTTTACGATATTCTTACTGCCCATGATCCCCAAATGGGGATCGGCATAAAATGCATATTTACTGCAATACTAACAGTATAATTGAGACTAACCTTACCATTTTCAGAAGAACATAGACTATTCTACCACCTACTATGGTATTATGAATCAGAAATGTTTATAAATGGGAAAAATGTACATGTCAAAAATTGACATCTCTGTCATATCACGATTAAGGTCACTTCTCTCAGAAAATTTCATCTATTCGATTTTTCAGACAAAACGATACAGTTTTAACTGATCTCAATTGATGTCTATAACCTTTATGTATACTTTATTGAAGAAGAACATGTTCCTGATCAATACTTCAGGAATAATATCCACAAAATCAAACGATCCCCAATTGGGGATCATGGGCGCTAATGGGTTAAGAATCTCTCTTCTCTGGTTTGCCACTATGTTTGAAGACTGATCACAAATTACATTTCAATCAATTAATGTTTGACCATTTTCTTATTTTTTAGTGATGAAAAGGAAAATAAGGCTATAGGAAAAGGAAAGGGTGAAATTGGCCAGATTCACAGGTATTTTTATCCTTGTCAATAAAAGTAGGCCTATTCATGATCATTCATGGGTGGCATCTGCCCATTTTCCAGTACCAGCTCTCTTCACAGTCTGCTGTGTCATGTGTGCCTGTGGCAGCTGAGCAGCTCTATCAACAACACACAAGTTAGGGTAAATGCGGTATATTCCGACACTTTAAGGACATAGCAAAAAATGAATGGCTCTAAAAAATACACCGTACAAACACTCTCAAAACACCACACTACGTGCCAGCAACAATGAAACATCACAGAGCCTTTAGAATGCAAACATACCAAATCCATATATTCCGACACGGCGTGTGACTAAATTTTGAATTTTGTGACACTAATTCCGGCCGCGCTACAAACTCTACTAATTTGTAATTCCAACACTCTTGTGTTCGAATTCTGATCGCTGTGTGAGCTGTATTGGAATACGACACAGCTTTGAATTAGAACACTATTGAAT